GAGGAGCTTCCACCATTTCCAGAAGCTTCTCTGTTAAGTGCACGGACCTGAAGGAAACGCGTGTTTAGAGGGGTGTTTTCACGTAGCTCCACGCGGTACGTAAGGGTATCAAAGTTTGGGCCTTGTGCGTCTTGTGCTTGGATGTGGACCACAAGGGTGAAGGTGGAGCTAAGTTGAGGCGCTCCACCATCCTTGGCAGCCACCTGAAGGTCATAGCGAGGGACACTTTCATATGATAAACTCCCAATTAGACGTACCTCCCCACTGCCCCTGTCAACGCCAAATGTCCTCTGGCCACTGCTGCCTGCAGCCCCAGCAGAGACTAGATCGAAGCTGAGCTGACCGTTATGGCCGGAGTCTTTGTCGGTGGCCTGAATACGGTAGATAATCGTCCCCATTTTGGTGATCTCGGGTAAAAGAAGGGACTCTGATGAGGATGGCAGGAAGGTAGGGGCATTGTCGTTGATGTCTGCAATGGTTATGTGTACCCGGCTGATTCCATATGCCGGAGGAGAGCCAAATCGTGCCTGGATCTCCAGGTCAAGACTGGGGCAGGTCTCGTGGTCCAGAGGAAGGGCTGTGCGAATGGTACCAGAGGCGCTGTCCACTGTAAAGTAGCCATGAGGGTCTCCAGATGAAATCGAGTAGAAAATATCCTTAGAGCCACCTGATGGAAGACAGAAGATGTAAGGAAATAGTGAGAAATTATGCCACAATGGAAATTGTGGGATTTTCAAATTAAAATACAATAAAACAGAAAACAACTGAGGTTGAAATATTAAGTGTTTACTAAGAAATAATAATATGAAGACCAAGAATCTGATTCACTGAGAGCCTTGTATACCACCACAGCCATCTGTCCACTACACCACTGATTATTCTGACTCAAAATTACATCCCAATTAAAATCCATCATTAACCGTGAGCGAAAATAGGATTGCGAGTAGAAAATAATCGCCAGTAAATTGTGCACCGTGAGGCGGATGTGATTTCTTAATGGAGTGTGTACAATTGTTGCTTGGTTATTTCTACAACTACTCGAGAGATAAGGCATCATGCTGCAGCCCATTAGTGCATTTTTGTCCTGGTACTTGTCAGGAAGATGAAAATGGGCAAGCCGCACAGAACTGCTTCTCACTAGGGAAGTATGCAAGTGTTAAAAGCAAGCCTGAAATAACCAAAGCAGACCCAGGAATCCAATAAAGCATGTGAGCGTACAAGGGCCTCACCTGTCTTGGCAGAAGCACGAACCACGCCCACTGCCGTCCCCCTGAGAACATCCTCCGACACGGTAAAGAAGTACTGTGCCTGTTCAAACACCGGAGACGCCACTGAGCCCCCCACGATGCTCACGTTCACTCTGGCATTTACCGGTGCTGTAAGACCGCCCCCATCCTCAGCCGATATGACCATGGAGATTACCGTGTTGGCTTTGCCATGGAGTGAGCGGGAGAGAGAGATCACACCTGCAAAAAATAGATACATACAGACAACAAGTTCATTTTTATGTGAGTCATTTTCACATGTCTTGGTTACGGTCGTAACATACATGATTGTGCTGCACATGGAATAATAATAAAACACTACACACCTGTGTCCTTATTAAGGGTAAAGAAACTAGATCCTCCTCCAGGTACAGTGCGGTAGGTTACTCTTCCGTTTTCTCCGACATCAGGGTCATTGGCTGTTACCTTGACGACAGACGTTCCTGGAGCACTATGGGTACTGAGACTGACCGTGTACAGGACTGGATAGAAGATGGGCCGGTTATCATTGATGTCCACCACCGTGACCCTCACACGGGCTACTGAACTTAGACCACCCTGTAAAGGAAATGCTTGATCTAGTTTATTTGAATACAGAAAAC